AGTCAAATTCAGCAGCACATTAAAAGGATTATACACCATGAATAAGTGGGATTTATTCCTGGAATAAAGGATGGTTCAACATACAAAAATCAACCAGGGCTGGCCCCGTGGCATAGCGGTTAAGTGCGCGCGCTCCACTGCTGGCAGCCCAGGTTCAGATCCCGGCACGCAACCGACGCACTGCTTGTCAGGCTATGCTGGGGCAGCATCCCACATAAAGTGGAGGAAGATGGGCACAGATGTTAGCTCAGGGCCAGTCTTCCTCAGCAAAAAAAGAGGAAGATTGGCATGGATGTTAGTTCAGGGCTGATCTTCCTCATCAAAAAAAAAAAAAAAAGTCAACCGATGTAATACACTACATTAACAGAATGAAGGGAAAAAACACATAATCATTTCAACTGATGCAGAAAAAGCATTTGAAAAAATTCAACAACCTGAATTTTCATGAGAAACACTCAACAAACTAGTAATAGAAGAACATTGTCGCAACATAATAAAAGCCATATATGAAAATCCAAAGTGAACATCATATTCAATGGTGAAAGACTGAAAGCTTTTCCTGTAAGACCAACAGCACGGCAAGAATGCTCACTTTCACAACTTCTATTCAAGATCATTCTGTAAGTTCTAGCCAGAGAAATTTGGCAAGAAAGAGAAATAAAAGGCATCTAAATTGGAAAGGAAGAAGTAAAATTATCTGTTTGCAGATGATATGATTTTATATGTAGAAAACCCTAAAGATTCCACACACAAAAAACTGTTAAAACTAATAATTCAGCAAAGTAGCAGGATAAAGAGTCAACACACAAAAATCAGTTGCATGTCTACACACAAACAATGAACAATCTGAAAAGAAAATTTAAAAAACAATTCCATTTACAATAGCATCAAAAAGAATAAAACACTTGGGAATTAACTTAATCAAGGAGATGAAAGACTTATACGGTAGTCCTCCCTTATCTGCAAGGAATACGTTCCAAGACCCCCAGTAGATGCCTGAAACTGTGGATAGTACCAAACCTTATACATATTATGTTTTTTCCTATACAAACGTACCTATGGTAAAGTTTAATTTATAAATTAGGCACAGTAAGAGATTAACAACAATAACTAATAATAAAGTTGACTTTGGGGCTATTATTAAGTAAAATAAGGGGTACTTGAACACAAGCAGTGTGATACTGGAACAGTTGATGTGATAACCCAGACAGCTACTAAGTGACGTTAAGAGGTGGGTAGCATATACAGCGTGGATACCCTGGACAAACGGATGATTCAGTCCTGGGCGGGATGGAACGGGACAGCACAAGATTTCATCACGCTCCTCAGAATGGTTCACAATTTAAAACTTATGAATTGTTTATTTCTGGAATTTTCCATTTAATATTTTTGGACTGTGGGTTGAGTGTGGGTAACTGAAACCATGGAAAGCAAAACTGAGATAAGGGGGGACTACTGTACACTGAAAACTACAAAACATTGCTGAAATAAATTAAAGAAGACATAAATAAATGGAAACATATCCCATGTCTATGGATTAGAAGATTTAATATTATTAAGATGTCAATACTACCTAAAGTGATCTACAGATTCAGTGCAAGCCCTATCAAAATCCCAATGATGTTTTTTTGCAGAAACAGGAAAACCTATCCTAAAATTCATATGGAATCTCGAGGGACCTGAATAGCCAAACAATTTTGAAAAAGAAGAATAAAGCTTGCCTGGGGCTTGGCAGAGGGGGAGAATGTGGAGTTATTGTTTAATGGGTATACAGAATTTCAGTTTTGCAAGATGAAAAGAGTACTGGAGATAGACGGTGGTGATGGCTTTATAACATTATAAATGTATTTAGTACCACTGGACTGTACACTTAAAAATGGTTAAGATGATAAATATTATATTTTACCAGGATTTAAAAAATTAGAAAATAGAGTTAAGAACCAAGAATAACCAAGGTAAAGAGATATTATTAAGCTGAACTAATTAAGAAAGTGTTGACCTGGGGATAGATACATAAATGAACTGAAAAGAAAAGAACCATGCATATACTGCTGGGATAATTGGTTCTCCATAGGAAAAAAATAAAAATGAATCTCTATCTCACTACTACACATTAATCAATTCTAAATAGATTAACGACCAAAATATGCAAAGCAAAACATTAACACATTTAGAAGAAAATACAGGTCTTCCTGTTAAATAAGGATAGGTAAGGAGTTACTAAATAAACCACAAAAAGCACAAAAACATGAGCAAAAAAAGTTGATACATTTGACTACATTAAAAATATACAGCTTCTGTTTTTTAGAAGACATCATTAAAAACAAACAATTGGGGGAAAAAAGGAGAAAAGATAAGCTATAGTCTGGGAATAGATATTTGCTACACATATAATCAACAAAATGTTAGTATCTGATAGAAATACATGTGTATCTAAAAATTACTTATAAAAGCACAACTCAAAAGGAAAAATGGGCAAAATTTAAGAAGCCACAATTAACAGAAAGGAATTCCTCCTTGCCAATAAATAAGAAAAGACTCTCAATCTCTCTAGTAATCATAGAATGGCAAATTCAAACACATGAGGAGATGAAACTACTGATCTATTTTCAAATCCTTTTTTGTTTCATTTTCATAAATAAAAAGCTCTGAGGAAAACAAAAACAATGAGATATCATTTCACATCCATCTGACTGGCAAAAAGAAGACTGCCAATATCAAGTGTTGACAATAGTGTAGACTGCATTGTAGAGCAATAGTAACTCTCTTAACTGCCACTGGTAAAACTCCTTTGGAGAACAATTTGGCAATATATAGTAAAGTTGAAAATGTGCAACTCAGAAGTGGCCTCCCCTAGTTTTAAACAGTAAAGAGGCTCTTGCACATGTGCTAAGATGACATATATATAAGAACTATAAAAACAACATTGCAAAAGCAAAAAAAAACTAAAACACCCAAATATCTATCATCAAAGGAAATAAATTTCTTACAATGGAATACTATACAGCAGTTCAAATATTCTAGAGCTACACACATCAACTCTGATGATTCTCACAAACAAAACATTTAGCAAAAAAGAAATCTGGAATCAGAATAATACCATTTATAACAGGTAAAAATGTAAAAAAAATACTATATGTTTTTTCGGTATACAGATATATCTGTAGTAAAAGTATAAAGACATGAATAGGGATGTCTAAATTTAAGAGAAATGGAGAGGGAAAAACTTATAGAGGGTTCCAAATGTATTTCTAATGTTTTATATTTTAAGCTGACCTGTGGGTGCATGGGTGTGGTGTTATTCTTTACACTTTTATTATGAAATATTTTATAAAGTATTTTTAAGGCAAAATTAAGAAAAGTTATCTTTACTTAATTAGAAACTCTGTTCAGAATATTATTGTGTTGTATTTGAAATTTGATCTGTAAACAATAATCTTAAATTTTTGTTATAAAAGTAATAATGAATTTATGCAAATTTCAAAAATCTATGAAGATTTAATAATTTTATTCTGTATATTATATTTTGAATTCTGAAGGATCTAAGGATACATTCTATATCTTAAAATATTTTATTGTGGCCATTTTATATAATGTAGCCTGGGTAATTATATACCAGTATGCGAGAACAGAAATTTAATTTATCTTCTACTGAATTCATTTTTTTCTGCTAAGCATTGATTTCATGTCCAGAATACCACACAAATTGAGGTTTTTGGTTGGTGAAATTCCAGACACATTGGAATAATAATAATAATCAATTTTAAACTGTATTTTTGGTTACATTTTTGATAAGAGAATATAAAGCACAATTGGGGAAACTGGGATATTTATCACTTAAATAGCTATACTTCCTGGATGATTGAAAAAAATGAGTTATCTCAAACTTATGGGTCACATATGGATATCTTACATAAAGCAATATTTTATTAATAACATGTTCCCCTTACTTAACAGCTCTAATATATTCCAGGTGAAACGGTGAACAGTGTTCACCTGCTCTGTGAACCAAACAGTAGTAGAATAAGAATGCTTTTTGTTTTTTTTTTTAAGATTTTATTTATTTTATTTTTTCCCCCCAAAGCCCCAGTGGATAGTTGTATGTCGTAGCTGCATATCCTTCTAGTTGCTGTATGTGGGACTCGGCCCCAGGATGAACGGAGAAGCGGTGCCCCAATGCGCACCCGGGATCCGAACCCGGGCCACCAGCATCGCAGCGCGCGCACTTAACCACCAAGCCACAGGGCCGGCCATGAATAAGAATGCTTATAGCAAACATTTATTGACCTATGTACCAGGCACTGTGCAGAATACTCTATACATGATTATCTCATGTATTCCTCACAATATCCCTTGGAAGTAGGTACCATTATTATCCTAATTTTATAAGAAACTGAGGTAACGTGCCCAAGATTGCCTAACCATTGAGCAGTGAACTCAGGCAGTCTGGATTGAGAAACACTGTGTTATGTTGCCTCTTTATGGAGTGCAGTTATAATAACCTAAAATTTCAAGGCCAGCTCCATTTTCAGGTATTTTGCACCACTGTCCTGTGTATACACTCAAGGTTTTCATATGGAAAAAGGAGCCAGGAGACCTGGTCTCATTCTCAACTGCCATTAGCTTGAGTAGTTTGAGACAAATCTCTGGGCCTTAGTTTCTTCACGTGAGCACACTAGATGATGTTCCTTGAGGTCCTTTTGGACTCCGAGAGAGAAAAATAATCCTTTAAAACATGCCCACAATAACAATTCAATACTAGGGAGAGAAAAAGATTTAAAAATAAAAGTGAATGAGCGTTTGTATGTTTAATTAATTTTGGTGATTTAAATCTTTTTATAAAAAGAATTAAGTCTATAAACTTAGAAAATACCTAAATATTCCTAAAAATGTCTATGAACTACCTTATCAAATAGTTTTATTTAAGAAAATTAGAGTAAATCAAAATAATTTTTCCTAAATTGCTATGTACATAATACTTTTTTTTCTTTAATTTTTAGAAAGTTGGGCATAAACAATACCTAAACCTGCTTCTTGACATGGTATCAGAACAGAGCTATTGCTGAGTTTGATTTATAGAGAAATCATGGTTCGACTGACCTTGGATCTGATTGCCAAAAACAACAATTTTAAAACCCGAAAAGAAACCACTTCACAATACCTGAAGAAAATAACTCATGTAAATTTTTCAGACAAAAATATAGACGCAATTGTAAGAACTCTGAAATTATTTCCTATTTTTATATAATTAACAATATCAAGTTTAGAAACTGGTGTCAAAGCATACCTTCTTACTAACTATATTTTGATTATATTTATTAACTATATTTTGATTAGTCAGATTTATATTGTGTTTTCATTTTAATTTCGTGCTTGTGTTGATAAACTTATTAAAAGTAAGTCTCTATAAAATATACATTATGATTGTTACATATATGTGTTAAATATGTCAGTTCCCCTAAAATACTCTATAGAGTAACAAACTAGATTTGAAAGTGTATATTGGAAAATAATTTCAAAGATAATTACTTATGTATAATTCCAGAACCTTGGAATATGAATTTTTTAACATGTCAAAATATTAAGAATTAACTGTGAGAGTACCATATTTCAAAACTTTAGCAGTGAAATCTTTTTTGCAAATAATTTAACTGGTTACATAAATGTAGGTTACATTCTGTCAGTTATATCAGATAAGATTACATTTACTGGGATATACTCTGAAACTCTTTTCTCTGTGCTAAGCTAATTCTTGGCTTTAATTTGGGAAACTTTAAAGGCAGCAATAACCCATTTAGGCCATCTGTATTGGTATCCATTGTCTACAATAAAATGCTAAAGACTAAGATGAAAGAAATTTTCTCAGAAACATATAAGCTATGTGAGGGCAGGGATCATGTCTATTTTGTTTGCATCACTTTAAACCCCCCATCCAATACTGTGCCTGACTCATATTAAGTGCTTAATAAATATTTATTGAATGAATGAATGAAAAAACACCAAAGCCCCAGGCAAAGCTGTCAGTTAAGACAATTGGGTTTTTTTGCAGAGACTCTACCTAGCTACCATTCTATATCCCTTTCCGGTTTCCTGGTGATCCTTCTCCCCATGAATCCAATTGCCTAAACCTCATGTTTCTATTTTGTTGCCCAAAGCTCACCACCTCATCATACCACATATGGGGACTGCTTTCTCCAGAGAGCCTCCGTTTAATGGTCTTTTGTCCTCTCACAATCAGTGCTCCTTCAGTGTGGATGACCTCTGTTAGGAGGAAAGCAAACTGGTTATAGTAATTCATACTAAAATAAGAATAACTTGTAAACTTAAAGTCCCCAAGATGTGGTTGTTTTTTAAAAGATCTTATTTACTTAATGAAAGCTGAGATATTTTTGAGCAGAACTTTATCTCTTACCTACTTACTCTAGGCCCCTTCTACCACTGCACAAGAAATGACAGCCTTTTAAAAATACCTTTAATTATTCTGTTATCTCAAAAGTAATTGGTGTTCATTTGTATAAAATACACACAAAAAAGAAAGAAATTGACTTATAATCCTACCAAGCAGAGAAAACTACTATTAACATTTAGGTGATGTCCTTCCAGTCTTTTTTCTAGGCATGTATTCATATAATTTCACAATCGTGGGTCATATTGAATGTACTGTTTTCATTTTATTGTGAGATCTACAAGATATTACTAAAGAAACTAAACGATATTTATGGGTATACGGTATTCCCTTCAACAGCATAATCATAGTTTCTTTATTAATCTATTGTTCTTGAATATCTAGATGACTTCCAATTTTCAGTATTATAAACCACAACAGTTTATTTCCAATTCTACACAAATATTAAGCCCTGATTTATAATACTGGAGCAATAATTTGTTAAATACTTCAACTTCCAGAGAAGCCTAAGTGCTTCCAAGGAAAACTGCTTGCACTGGGAAAATTGTTCTTAACAAATAAAATTTTATTCCTATAGTTACAGAATACTAAAACCTAGAACTAATTTTGTAATCATTCCAGTCTTGTTTACTGTTCTTTTATATTAACCTTAAGGAAATTTTCAGAATGATTAAGCAAAAAACTTTCTTAAAAACAAACTTCTAAGTTTTCAGGAGAAATTAAATATGACCTGTTTTTGTTTTCCTTTTAGGAAGACCTCTCTCTTTGCAAAAATCTTAGTGTTTTATATTTGTATGATAACCGTATTAGTCAAATCACTAACTTGAATTATGCCACAAACCTGACCCACCTGTACCTACAAAACAATTGTATTTCATGTATAGAGAACCTCAGGTCACTAAAGAAACTGGAAAAACTGTAAGTGCTTTTATTTTTAAGTAATGTAATTGTCATTATTACAGTAATATTTTTGCATGTACATATTTCCATTATCTGCAGTTTTGTGGAACAGGCCTCAATTTTTATTCTCTTTTAGTATTATTAGTACAAAATAAAGTGTTTCAAATACCCGACAATTTGTGTTGTGTTAAGCCTGATACACTTTTCTTTTGCAGGAGGGTGAGTTGTTTTAAGGGCTTATAGGGATACCTAAAACATCTTTATGTAGGCTCAACTGATGAAAAAAGTTTCCATGGAACCCAAATGTGCCTTTCAGAATCACATATCTCAAAAGGGCAGGGTCATAGAATTGATAATGTTGATGTAGATCTGATTGTAAAAAGGCATTTACTGCCTATAATGATTTTAATTAAACAATAAAGACTAGTGGATCTAGGGGGCCGGCCCCGTGGCTTAGCGGTTAAGTGCGCGCGCTCCACTACTGGCGGCCCGGGTTCGGATCCCAGCGCACACCAACACACCGCTTGTCAGGCCATGCTGAGGCGGCGTCCCACATACAGCAACTAGAAGGATGTGCAACTATGACATACAACTATCTACTGGGGCCTTGGGGAGAAAAAGGGAAAAAAAAAAAAAGAAAGGAGGGGGGTTTGGAATGGATGTTAGCTCAGGGCCGATCTTCCTCACAAAAAAAAAAAAAAAAAGACTAGTGGATCCAATTTCCCCAGATTGGAAGAGCTATCAGCGCTTCTCAAAAAGTGGGCCAAGGCCTCAGAATGGGGAGATAGGAATGGGGTGGGAAAAGCTTACCAAAAATGCAGATTGCTGGGCTCCAACTTAAGTAGTCATATCAGAATCTCTGGGGCTTAGGCCCATAAATCTTCATTTTTAAACCTACAACCCAGGTGATTTTTCTGTACCCTGACATATAAGGAGCACTGGTAGATAGTTTAATAAGGACTATTCCAATCCTCTCGCTTTAAAAAAAATTAACTTATTTCTTACACTAAATTAAGTGTAAGAATCACATAGATAAAACTTTCATTGATTCAATATAAAGAGAACATTCTGCATGTATAATTTCCACAGAGCTCAATGAGTTGGTTATTATGTTTTTATCAAGTTTTACAGATCATGATGTTCTCAGAATGTCTATTTAAAATTATGTTTCATATTTTGCAGGTATCTGGGAGGCAATTACATTGCTGTCATAGAAGGTTTAGAAGGATTAGAAGGACTGAGAGAGCTTCATGTTGAGAGTCAGAGGCTTCCCTTTGGAGAAAAGCTTCTGTTTGATCCAAGAACTCTTCATTCTCTAGCAGTAAGGCCACATTTGAGTATTCTGACAAATATAGTGATTAACAGTTATAATAGAACAGGAAGGTGATGAAGGTATATTAGAACATTGTACATACTCTGCATGTTTATATGGCCTATTGAGAGTTTATTTGAAGGCTAAAACTAATTTTCCCCACATAATTTCTCAGAGACTCAGCAGCTATAAAATAGGGATAATTATCATGCCTGCCTCTAGGGTAACTGGAAGGATCAAAAGAAGAATGTAAAAAGGTTTGTAAAGTATGAAGTTCTAATACAGATGTTAATTAATTCATAATTTGGACCTTGGTGATTATCATGATTCAAAGTTTAAAATTTTAGGAAAAAGCCTAAGGAAAGTGGAGTGCACAATTATTTGGCAAATTTTAAACAACCTAGAGAATCATTACAATAGTAAGTCGTTTTCTTGATGGATTCTGATTTGATTGTAGAGTGCGCTACATAACGCTCTGCCTCATCAGAAGCAGGTAGATCTGGGAGCACAGGATTTGATGCTCCAGCTGTCACCTGACAACTGACCACATGGAGGTATCACAATGAGTTGAGAAGCCGGAGGGCACCACAGAGGCTTTTGCTAATCCTCAAAATGGGATTTGTTAGGATATGCTACCTTTAATTCTGGGGCAAGGGACATACATGGTTGTATTTACAGATTTCGTTGGTTTTATTTTAGAGGGCCCAGAAACAGAGGGCAGTAGAAGGTTTCTGAACCAAATGTATAAGAATTGAGGGGTAATGCTTTAAATTGGAAAAGAAAGAAGTGACCTGGTTTCTATCCTACCCCCTCTATGCTCCCCATAGAATCAACTGTGTCTCAGCTCAACCTGAACTGATCCAAGAGGACTGACCCCACTCTGGGGATGGCTAGTTTTATTACAAAATGCCACAGAAAATAGTTTTGCTTGCTCAATTTTTACACAGATTCAAGCAGATTCTGAAATTCTAAATATAAGGCATAATTTTTTTAGCTGTATTTCAAGTCTTAAAAAATACCGGGGGGCCAGCCCCGTGGCTTAGCGGTTAAGTGCGCGCGCTCCACTACTGGCGGCCCAGGTTTGTATCCCGAGCACGCACCGAGGCACCGCTTGACCAGCCATGCTGAGGCTGCGTCCCGCATACAGCAACTAGAAGGATGTGCAACTATGACATACAACTATCTACTGGGGCTTTGGGGAGAAAAAGGGGAAAAAAAAAAAAAAGAGGAGGATTGGCAATAGATGTTAAAAAAAAAAAAAAATACCAGAAAGTATCTTCTCTAAAGGTTGGCTGTGTGTGGACGCCTCAGTGGGTAGACTCCATCTTGGTAGAGATTCCTGGGCCTTAGATTTTAAGATGGCTTTGATTTAATGTTGCTCTGTTGTATATTTATGTCCTCATTAACAGCTGATGATGAACTTCTTGTTAGTTAGCTAATTATTATTTTAAGTGCCTTCTGAACATATGGATTGTCAAGAGAAAACTATAGAGAGATAGAGATAAAAATGAAAACCAGATATTCTTTCATTCTTGGTGAATGTTTCCTATTTAGAAAAATAAGCACAAAAACTATTTTTTTCTATGTAAATACAAATCTTAGTGACATTTAACACAAAATGATAATTTGCTTAAACTGAAATAAGCATTTTTTCTACATTATGTTATCATTTGTTTACTGGAGCATCTTTTTTCTTTCTTTGCTTGATTCTTGGTTTCTTTTTTCCATAAATTTCTCTTACATACTGGAAGAGGAAAATCGAACTTATGAAAAGTAAATTATATCACAATTACTATAGTTCTGAAAGTTTCATCTGAAAAAAATATGACATAGAAACAAAATCTCCTTGGCTTTTTATTTTCTTGCCTAAAGAGCAAAACAGCCTGAATTGATAAATCTTAAATTTTTCACAGATTAGGATTTCTGTTTCCCATATAAAGTATTTAATTAGACTATTTACTAATGCTAACTTAGATATTTTTCTTACAGAAATCCCTTTCTATATTGAATATCAGCAATAATAATATTGATGACATAAGAGACTTAGAAATATTGGAGAATCTTAATCAGCTTATAGCAGTTGACAACCAACTTCTGCATGTGAAGGTAGCGTAAAGAAAAATTAATTTAAAAATATTTACATGAAATTGTGATTGAAAAATACTTATTTCTCTAAATAGCTATAAAATGTATTATTTTAAAAACTATTCTGGATTTGTTCTATAACTAGCTTATGAATCTCTACTTCTTAATGTATTGGTTTGCATAATTCTGCCCTCTTACCTGGTTTTCTCTTTCATACCCCAATGCCTGCATCCTTCACCAACAGAAAAAAGTTTCTCTGAGAAGGAATTATATGCTTTTTCCTCTCTGTATTATTTTTTCTATCAAATGTTTCCCTCCAGAGACTAGATTTCTTGCCCCTTAACTCTGATGTCCCAATGAATGAGTTTCTAGTGATTCATTCATTCAAGTATGTGTTGGGCACCTACATATTTGTCAGGCACTGTACTACACTGTTGTAATACAGAGGAAGGAAGCATACAGTCCCAGGGCTCAAAAAACCCATAGTCAACAAGTAACGTTACTACAATGTGATTCTGTTATCATAAGTATTGTGGTAGCCCTAACTCAGCCTGGGGCTAGGGAAGGCTTCCAGGAAACAGTCACCTGTGAGCTGAGCCATTGCCATGACCACACAGTTTCTTGTTAGGCATTGGGGTGGCTTGTGGTATAATTTCTTTACACGGGACCATTGGAGGAAGAATGGGCTCCTTTCTCCCATGAACAGAGCTCTTGTTTTCAAAATTACTTCCAGACAACTATCCGCTGACCCTAAAAAAGTTACCCCTGGCCTTGTTTCCAAATTCAGGCCTATTACCTGGCTCATCCCATAACTACTGTAAGCAGCAGATAATTATGAAAACAAATATTATATGTATTCTACTACAAATGAATTCCTCAAAATATCCAAAATGCCATTGAACAACCAGGATGGATGTTTAAAAGACCAATAAGGAAGCATGACTCAATTAGTTGTTTCAACGTAAAACATGAAGGATGTAAGCAGTTCGTGGGATAAATTCTGTATTCAAAAATATTTTAAATTTTAGAGTGCTCCTCTAGATGTGTTTTCATTGAGCATTTTGTATTCATCAGAATTATTTAGTTTTCCTATGATTTTGCAGTATGTGTATCAATACTGTAATATGATTTTGTAATAGATGGGTAGTATTATATCAGATATACTGTACATATGATCCTATTCAAAGTGACAGAGCCTAGAGTATAGGTCTTGATTAAGTAAAGGAGACCTGGACTGTGTACAGTGTTCCACATTCACTCCATGGGAAATGGGAACAGAGTGGCCAAGCACAGAAGTTCACCTTTCCTGTGGAGAGAATGGTGGAGAATTCCAGTCTCCCAAATTGGCATCAATCTTAAGTGCAGGATAAGTATACCTAAATGTTTTTGTAAGCCCAGGTTCTAAACACAACGCTTGGCAAAGAAATGTTTAGTAATAAGTGGTAAATATATGAATATATCTTGAAAGATCTAATTAGTTGTTAATTATCATAATTGCCATGATTCATTTCAGTTATTGTCAGTACTTTTTAAAGTCTTATTCTATTATGCCTTTAACTCAGAACAGAAAAGGAGAGTTTCATAGGATAAAAATGCTAGCCTCCAAATGATCCTAAAGGAAGTTTTGTGGAATGACATTAAGACCAACCTATTTTGCCTACAATGATTATTCCTAGGCCATGTTAATAATGCATAACCAGGATAAATGTATAAAGAAAATAAATACCTTCATTACTGCTGATTATTCAATCTAATGATTAGTGTTTAAATAACCAAACCTTATTTTTTAAGACTGAGCTCAATGTCACCTCCTCTGTGTAGCTTTTCCTGAACCTCTCCATCAAGTTAATCTATTCAAAAATATTTATTATATTATGTGTTCCAGGCACTGTTCTAGGCCCTTGTAAAAACATGTTCTAGGCACAGGGGATACCATGATAAATAAGATAGACAGGGTCTCTACCTTTAAGGAGCTTACATTGCAGTGAAACAGAGGAGGGAACAGCCAGAAAATAAATAAGCAGAGAAGACTGTGAAAAGTGCTATGAAGGAATTATGTAGGATGACATAGTGGAAAAGGGATCAGTGGATATTTTAGATCAAGCTATCAAGAAAGGCCTCTGAGGAAATGACATTTATGCTAAGATCTGAAGGATGAGAAAGAAGAAATCTGTGCAAAGAGCTAGGGAAAGAACATGCCAGGCTTAGGGAACAGCATATGTAAAGGTTCTGAGGCCAAAGAGAGCTTAAAGTGTCAGAGGAACAAAAAAGAGGCCAGTTCACTGTGATAGGGACCCCAGTGCCTAGTTCAGTTTCTGACATGTTGTAGGTATGCAATAAACAATTGCTGAATGATGAAGAGGAAACGGTACAACATGATATTAGAAAGGAAGGTGTAGGGGCCAGATCATAAAGGTCCTTTGAGGCCATGGTCATGAGTTTGACTTTATTCTAAGACCAATAGAAAGTCACTGAAAGGATTATATTTTTTAAAGATTTCTCTATCAGCTGTATAAAGACTGAGTTGCAAGAATGATAGCAAAGTGATCAGTTGGGAGACTACTGCAAGGTTAAGTAAGAGAAGATGAAAAGGAGTGGATGGATTGGAGGTATATTTTTAGGTTGAACCCATGGAACTTGATGATTAGGATGTATAGGAATAAAGGAAAAAGAAGAATTAGGGATGACTTCTAGCTTTTTGTGTGAGGAACTGGGGAGATAGTGGTAGCCTTTACAAGTTGGGGAATACAAGGAAGGAATAAAAGAATTCTTTCTTTTGAAATGCTTACTGAACACTGAAATGGACAAGTTAACTAGGCATTTGGAGTTCAAGGGAGAAATAAGATTGGAAAGTTTGGGAATCAACAGCATTTACATGATATTTAAAGCCATGGGACTGGGTGAAAAACCATAGAGATAGGGAATAAATGAGGCCAAGACGAAGCACAGAAACACCCCAATATTTATAAATCATTTAAATGAGAAGGCACCAGGAGGAGTCAGTGATGTAGGAGAAGACAAGAAAAAAAGGAGCTTCAAGAAAGAGGGAATAGCCACTTGGACTGAATGCTATTGAGTAGTTGACATGAGGGCAGATAACAGGTTAACAGAAATGCATGGATTTGGCAATAGTGAGAGTATGTCTGGTCAAGTATCATGCTTTTTGCATATATTTTCTTCTAACCAAAGCCACATGAACCCATTAAAAACTTCTTTCCACGATATGGTTTGAGAAACTTCAGGCTTTTCATGAACTAATTCCCCATTTCTGAAATTTCAGTATACAAACTAAAGGACAAGAGAAGGGAAAATTAAAAGACTACCTGGATAGAATACCTTAAAATAAATGTTACAGAGGACAGGTTTAATTTCTGAAGAAGTTGAACCAGAGAGGCTGTGGTTCAAAAATCACAGCAGTGGATAATGCTGAAAATGGGGATTTAGTGAAAGACTGAATACTGAAATGTTAGAGGGCCTATGCTTTCCTCCATCTTACAGACACAAACCAGGCTTTACTCCCAAAACCATTCCTGCATGGCTTAAAAACTTTGGGCAAGAGATTGGAGGATTCCTCTCTAGGGAAACTGACCAGCCCAAGAGAAAACATCTCCCAATTCTGACATTTAAGGGTTCCACAGGGAAAATGCCAGCAGCATGTCCAACTGCCCTACAGTGAGACCAACCAGTCAACAACCTGACTCTCACACAAAGAGCTCTCATTAACTTTCATGAATGAACAGATAGCTCAAGATTATAGACATCTGAAAGCAGCCTCTAAAGTCAAAGAAAGAAACAAAAACAAGGAAGAACTCTAAAGAAACAAATAAGATGGAAGCAGAAAAAACAAAAATTAAAAAAAAAAAACCACTATAATTAATTTCTTAAGAGAAATAAAAAAGGATTCTATAACCTTGAAATAAAAAGAGTCTCTTTTTTAAAAAAAGGAACATTAAGTGAATGAGAGTACTTAGAAATTTAAAATAGAATCGGAGAAATTAAATATTCAATATAAAGCTTAAATGATAAAATTGGGCAAGTCTCCCAGAAAGAATGAAAAATAAGCAAGAAAAAAAGAATTAATTCAGGAGATCCAATATATGACTAATAAGAGTACAAGTATCAGAGAACAGGAAAAAGAAGAGGAAAATAAAATTATATTTAAAATATAATGGGCCATGATGTATCAACCATGACAAGAATCATCCTTCTACAAAAAAGAAAAGAAAACTAAACAGAATATGTGAAACAACATTTTCAGACATTAGACAATAAGCAGCACAGGACTGTGGTCCATAAGAGAAGGAAAACAAACAAGGTGAGCTCTCTAATTATCCCAGCTTTCTGCCTGCAGGCACTTTCCAGGCCACAATGCAGGGAGGGTAATAGCAAATAAGAACCATGAAACTGTAAATCGTAATTGGAGAAAAGTCAGTCAAGAAAAAACATCTGGAAATGACATGGAGGATGGAATTAGAAGAAAGAACTTTTATTTTTTTTTATTTTTTTAAAGATTTTATTTATTTATTTTTCCCCCAAAGTCCCAGTAGATAGTTGTCTGTCATAGCTGCACATCCTTCCAGTTGCTGTACGTGGGACACGGCCTCAGCATGGCCGGAGGAGCGGTGCATCGGTGCACACCCAGGATCCGAACCCGGGCCGCCGGCGGCAGAGCACGCGCACTTAACCGCTAAGCCACGGGGCCGGCCCGGAAAGAACTTTTACAAAGCTATTATAAATATGCTCTGGAATTTAAAGAAAGCATGCACCCAAACAGAAGAAAAATGGAAGATGTGAAGAAAAAAAAAAAAGTCACTTCTGGAGATGAAAAATGTATCTAAAATGAAAAACTAATTGGATGGAATTAAAAGTAGATTAGACATTATAGAAGAAAAGAACAGTGAACTTAAAGACATAGCATTAGACTATTGAAACTGAGGTACAGAAATAAGAAACACTAAAAAATAATGAGCAGAGCCTCAATGGCTTATGGGACACTACAAGCATTCAAACATGTATGTAAA